AAGACAAAAAAGGATAGTAAAGGTTAAAAGTTATTTTGAGCAACAAAAGACAGGAAGTTGAGGAGAGCCACAATTGCCTAAGTACTGAAAGGATATGGCGCATAAAAGTAGAGAAAGCATAGAAGAAAAGTAACAAAAAGGGATGTTAAAGGGTCAAAGGTTACTTTGAATGGCAAAAAACAAGATTTTATATTATTTATATTCAGATTAATATCCTCATCCTTGTTGTTGTTTTAGTCATTGTGTCCTCTGCTCTTTTTCCAGTGTCTGTCAACCCAGGTAACCTTTGATGAATTTTGAGCTGAACCCTTTAATTTATAATGGTAGACTGTTCTTATTCCACTAGTGAGATGAAAATATGAGTCTAAATTAGAATAATGTCAATAATAACTTCTCATCTCAGAACATGACAGGAAGTTGCGGAGAGCCAAGATTTCTCACATCATAAAATGAAATGGCACATAAAAATAAGGGAATGGAAGCTAGAAAAAAGAGTTGACTGTAGTCGGGTTTATTGAGTCAATGTGAACAATCCTTTCCTTTAGTTGCATTATATGTGCTTCACCAGGGTTACTTCTTTCGTTTTATGTGTCATATCCTTTCAGACGTAGGCAATCATGGCTCTCCACTTCCCTCTATCCCTTGCAGCTCTCAACAAGTTCCTTCTCACTGCTTCCTCACTCAGGCCCTGTTCTGTCATCCACTTGCTTAAGCCCGCCATGTATGTCATGTTTTGTTTTCCCTTGTCTCACTTTCCCTCTATTTGACCTGTGAGTATCAGATTCTCTAGGCCCTCCTTCCACATTATGTGTCCAAGAAACTTAAGCTACCTCTTTCTGATATTAAGTATAAGCCTCCTCCTTGTTTGCAACCTCTCTAAGACCTCGTCATTGCTCACACTCTCAATCCATGATATCTTTAGAATTTTTCCTTCTTGACAGATTGCCATCCAAGGCTATAGAACCCAGTCTGTTCTACTATTTACTCATAGCTGGGTGGCAAAAAGAAGACTTGGAAATGAATGGTAGAACAATGATAAAAAGGATGGTTTATGGTCAAATGTTATTAGATCAGCAAAATACAGGAAGTTGTGAAGAACCATGATTGCCCACATACTGAAAAGACAGCCTATAAATAGAAGACAAAACAAGTATTTTTTTAGGTTGATTTCAAAAAATAGGATTTTATATTATTTTCATTCAGACTAATGTCCTCATCTTTGTTGTTGTTTTAGACATTGTCTTCCAGCTTTTTTCCAGTATCTGTCAATGATAATTTATTTTCTCATAACATGACAGGAAGTTGTGGAGAGTTATTATTTACCACATCCTAAAAGTAAATGGCACATAAAAGTAAGTAAATGGATGGTAGAATAGTGACAAAAGAGGGGTGGTTTATGGTAAAATGTTACTTAGATCAGCAAAAGATAGGAAGTTTGGAAGAACCATGACTGCCCACACTCTGAAAAGTCATTAAAACAAGAAGAATCAAGTGTTTCTTAGGTTGAGTTCAGGTTAGTAAATTAAATCATTAATAATTGGCATATATTTTTTAAGCATTTCCAACTTGGAGAAAAGTCAGAGGTATTTTCTATGTTCTCTTAAATTAGTAACTGAGAGAGTTAACCCTCATACATCATTACATCTGAAATAAGAAAACGAAGCTCTTGTCGGACATCAAGTAAATTTAAAGCCATAAATATCTACTTTGTGGGCAAAACTAAGAAAAAATATGTATAAGAGCAATTTCAACTTCCACTTGCTATCCATCACTGTTAAGCAAATTATGAGATAAAAGTTTTAACCGTTTTTTTTTATTATTATTATTTCACTTCAAGCAAGGCAATAAAGCCACTAAGATGCAAGCAGTTACTAAGTGGGAGAGAATATGAGAAAAAGAAACCTCGTTAGGGAGAGAAAACAATACAAGAATTAAGACAGACGATAACATTTGACATTGCATTTAAATTTTTTAAGTTCAAAGTTAAATGTAAAACGATAAGAACTTGCCACCAATCTAGTAGTTTGCTTAAATTCATAAAGTCTAGGTACCAAAGAGGAAAGTTCATTAGGACAATTATCATGAAAAGACAAAGGGAAGCCATGTCACATCTGTGAGAAAGTGACTGAAGTCAAGATGCCATGCCAGAATCAGTTCCACAAACAAGAGATGCGAGAGAACAAACTGTTAGCATTGAACTTACATCTAGCCATTTCAACTGTAAAATGATGAGACCTTCTTGTTAATCCCATAGTATACTTAAATTCACAAAGTCTAGGTACCAAAGAGGAAAGCTGATCAGAACAGTTAGCATGGAAATATTTATAGAAAAGGCACAGGGAGGCTATGTTATGATGGTGGGAAAGTGACTGAAGCTGAGATGCCAGGTCAGGACCAATAAAATCACAGTTTCTTTGGATTTTATCAAGAATCTAAAAGAAGTACCAGACCAGACTGCCCATCTCTCAGTGGCAAAAATAAAAAGCACAAAAAAAACTAATGTTTATCTTAACAAAGGGGAAATTTTAATATAGAGTATCGAACATAAAACAGAACTGCTACAAAGTTATTATCAGTGGGAACTTGATGGAAATCAAGATTTTCATGTAAGATGCAAAAGAATTAAGTGAATAACTAACTTTAGAAGCACAGAGGAAGTCAATTATTATAATCACACTTATTGATTTGATATATGATTGCAATTTATTATTTCTTTAGCCTTGTTGAAGCCAAAATCATCTATAGCTGATATTATTTCTATTACACTTCCATCTGGTCATACTACTTTTTATGTCCTGGGTATGATGATAAACTACATCTGGTAGCAATTCCTCTGATCAGGAGGTTTTGAGGAGCATGGAACCACCTTGATGTAATGGAATAACCAGTCACCCCCATGAATGATACACTATAGGTAGCAAGTACCTATAAAGTCAACCATCTAAGAGAGACTCGAGGAAGAGTGAGAGAGAGAAGACAAAAGCACGTCCGACCTTCCAATTAGAGGCACTCACTACTAGATTGACCTGTGTGTATAACTGTACTGTATTTCATATTGTACTGGTTGTGTACAATAAACCTTTCTTCTATTATCCACCTGGTGTTAAGTATTTATTCCATTAGCATGGAATACTTCTTACCTAGGTTACTCACTGGTTTCACCATCTCTCTTGCTTTCAATATGTCCTGTTAGTGTCAAATTCCCCAACCCCCTTTTCCTCATATTCCTGATATTGTATTTTACTGATTCTAAGTCTTGTTTTCATTATCCCTAAGACTTCCATGTTGCTCACATGTCCAAGTCCATGGTATTCTCAACATACCTCTGTAGAACATTTGTTACCTTGTTGATGACGTATTTGATCCCTGTTATTCTCAGCATCCTTCTGTAGAAACATATTTTTGTTGCATCAAGTCTATACCTGATGCAATGGGATAAGCAGTCACTCCCATGAATGATTAAACGATAGGTAGTAAGTACTTATAAAGTCAACTGACTGTGAGAGACTCGAGGAAGAGTAAGAGCGAGAAGATGCAAGCACGTCCGACCTTCCAATTAGTGGTACTCACCACTAGATTGACCTGTGTGTATAACTGTACTGTATTTCATATTGTACTTGTTGTGTACAATACACCTTTCTTCTATTATCCACCTGGTGTTAAGTATTTATTCCCTTAGCCCAGAATATAACACACCCCTTAATTGTCGTCGTTCCTTGGTTCACCTGAATGAAAATTAACTTACTACTGAAATTGAAGTAGCACCACTTAGTGTGGTTCTGACTTTAGGTTCTTCAGGAATACACAGTCCTTGTCCTGGGTTTTCCTTGTCTTGGGTATGACGATAAACTACATCTGCATCCTGGGTAAGACAATAAACTACATCCAACAGCAAGGCCTCTGATCAAGAGGTTTTGAGGAGCATGGAACCACAAGCAGTGTTCCCAGATCCACCCTGACCCGGGGTGATAGCACCTGTTAGGGTCACAGCTTAGGGCAAAGAGTTAACCCCCAAACTGGGGTCAAAACACAATGAAAGTATAAAAATGCATTCTTATAGTAAACATTTCCAGTCTCAGATTTTAATAAAAAAAAAAAGGTCCCAAGGAAATTAAATTTCAGCATTAAATGACCCATAAAGTGTTGATATGCCATTAACTAAACCAAACCTAAACCTGTTGCTTTGTTCCTGTTCATTTGGACTAGAGCTGGTCTTGGTAATGGTAATATTAGCCTTTTCCTTATAAAGAAGGATTTTGCATTCATTGACCGAGCAACTTGTACTTTCTCAGACTAATATTCCAGATCAATATTTTATATTTTAATATATATTGATTACATATTTGATCTCGATCCAATCACATTTAATGTTATTAAATGGTTATTTATATCAAAATCAGTCTGTCCCAAAGACTTTATAAGTGCAAAAAAGTTAATTTCATTGAAGTGACTCAACAAAATGCGTACAGAGATAGAAAGAATGAGCATTATGAAAAGGCAGATATGAATAAAAGAAATATGTCGGACAAAATATACTTTCATTGATGATGTACCACATACCTTCAGGATTATATTTAGTAAATTCACTGCCAGAACCAGCAACCATTGAAGATTCTTCTTTTGTCAAGAATTTCTAGATACATAGCACCAGACCAAATTTGGCAGTAATATTCAATGCATGGACAAATGGTAAATTTACAAAAGTTTAAGATAGATTCTGGTGAGAAAATATCTTCTAGCATGACAGAATTCTCAGCATTTATCACCCTAAGAAAAGTTCATCCATTAAAATTCACCATAAAAGGATAAAAATTAAACAGCTTTTTAATGGGTGCTTTGATTTTAATGGGTTCATTTTATTTTAATTAATTTAAAAATTAAAACTTGGGTTTCTACTAACTGATATTATCTGTTATCCCTCATGTATTCAGGGCTACAATTATTTGTTTTAATATTAAAATGAGTTTTTGAATCCACACAGCAGAACTAATATAGGGTTTATGTCCTTTTTTAGGTGCTTCACCAGCTGTGTACCATTCAATTTTGACTACTGTTAGACTTTGTTCATTCTTAATGCAATCCCAAAATTATATTGATTACATATTTGATCCTGATTCAATCACATTTAATGGTTATTTATATCAAAATCAGTCTATCCCAAAGATTTTATAAGTGCAAAGAAGTTAATTTCATTGAAGTAACTCAACAAAATGCATACAGAGATAATAAAAAAAAAAAACAATAAGCATCATGGAAGGGCAGATATGAATAAAATAAATATGTCGGACAAAATATACTTTCATTGACGATATCCATGTAGCACATTCCTTCAGGATTGTATTCAGTAAGTGATCTTACAGAATACGATCTTGAAGGAATGTGCTACATACATATCATCAATGAAAGTATATTTTGTCCGACATTCATATTTTTTATTCATATCTGCTTTTTCATGATACTCATTATTTTTTTTTTAATCTGTATGCATATCCTGAGTCACAAAATATCCATAATTGTCATATCAATGAATCCATCCTAGATTGTCAATATCTATCTATCCATCCTAACATGTTTATATCTATCTGTCTTAGTCATCATTCTCCCATTCATATCTTCATCCATCCTAGTCTGTTTCATATCTATCTATCTATCCATCCATCCTATTCTGTTCATATCTATCTATCCATCCTAGTCTGTTTATATCTATCTGTCCTAGTCCTTTCATATCTATCTATCCATCCTAGTCTGTTTTCTATAGATCTATCCATCCATCCTATTCCATCCTATCCATCCTATTCTGTTCATATATATCTGTTAGTCCTTCCATCCATCCTAGTCTATTTTTATATATCTATCTGTCCATAGTCCTATTCTGTTCATATCTATCTATCCATCCTAGTCTGTTTATATCTATCTGTCCTAGTCCTTTCATATCTATCTATCCATCCTAGTCTGTTCATATCTATCTATCTATCCATCCATCCTATTCTGTTCATATCTATCTATCCATCCTAGTCTGTTCATATCTATCTACCCATCCTAGTCTGTTCATATCTATCTATCTATCCTAGTCTGTTTATATCTATCTATCTATCCTAGTCTGTTTATATCTATCTATCTATCCTAGTCTGTTTATATCTATCTATCTATCTATCCTAGTCTGTTCATATCTATCCATCCATCCTAGTCTGTTCATATCCATCCATCCTAGTCTGTTCATATCCATCCATCCTAGTCTGTTCATATCTATCCATCCTAGTCTGTTCATATCTATCTATCCATCCTAGTCTGTTCATATCTATCCTAGTCTGTTCATATCTATCTATCTATCTGTCCTAGTCTGTTCATATCTATCTATCTATCTATCTGTCCTAGTCTGTTCATATCTATCTATCTATCTATCTGTCCTAGTCTGTTCATATCTATCTATCTATCTATCTATCCTAGTCTGTTCACATCTATCTATCTATCTATCTATCCTAGTCTGTTCATATCTATCTAACTATCCAACATTTAGATATTTCTCTATTATATTGGTTATCAATCTAAGCTTTCGGCTCAAATGGGCCGTCATCAGTATAAACAAAATAGGATTTCATCTTTGACGGTGAGCATCTCTGCTGTAATGTCCATATAACCACTCTGATGATGGCTCATATGAAAGCTTAGATGACCGACCAATATAATAAAGAAATATCCAAATGTTGGATAGTTTTTGTCTTTATTTTCACTTGAAACTAAAGCCATTATTTAAAACTTGGAATGGCTCATGATAAGATATCATAGACATTTGTTGTCTATTATATTTAACAATCTATGTCTGAATATATTACAATGAATCATTCATACAAAAAGTAGATGAGTAAAGTTAATGATATAAAATGGTAAAATTCTTTCACAACCAAATTTTTAAGTTGCATTAATCTATGAATCACTCGATGAATGTAATGATCCTTGTTTTTAATAACTACAAGCTGTATAAGGTCTTTTTTTTAATCTCCAAGTACTTTCAACTGTACATTCAGTCATCCCCAGGCATGGAAATTATTTTGTTTTTAGTAAAATCCAGGTAGCATCACAGATGAAAAAATTAAATGTGAATTGAAATATGTTTTTTTTTTGTTTTTTAAATGTGTTATTTTTAACAGATACAAACTTTTGGAGCATGCAGTCGCAACGCTAAGGTTCAATTTTTTGAAAATTTAAGAGTGTGTGTTTTTTTACTATTATGGTAATTTGAGAATATTTTTGTTGTAGGAGTTTATCAGTCAATGTGGCATGAACTAAATTGTTCAATAAATAGAGTAATGTCTCAGTTGTTATCTCGAAAACTTGCACATCAGATCAGTCTGAATAAACATCTTAATATATATATATATAGAGAGAGAGAGAGAGAGATTTATCAATAAAAATGACAATAGGAAAACTAGTAATTGCTGACGCGTTTCATCCAATGACTAGCAATTGTTTTCCTATTGTCATTTTTATCCATAAATATTGTCTTCTCTACTGGTTAAATCGGAGAAATTTTCGCATGTATAGATATATTATGTCTACTTTAGTTTTAATCCTTTAAAATCCACAAATTAATTTCTTGATGTTTGTAGAAAACTGATCAAGAATAACAGCAAAACTTTCTCTCAAATAATTTTTATTTTCCCAAGTACTTTCAATCTCATCTGAGATTATCTTAAGAGGGTTAAAAAAATTTGTGGATGTGTATACAGTAGCTCCATAAACACATTGATCTATTGCTAGTATTTTTACTACAAAAATGTATTTTTATACTTCCATAGTGCTTTGTTTGTGGTTTCACTATTTGCCCATAGCTGGGACCCTAACAGGTGCTACCACCCAGGGTGGACTTGTGAATAACAGCAATTAAGATGTGGTTTCACGCTATTCAAAACCTCCAATCCCCTGATCAGAGGTCTTGGTGCTGAATGTAATTTGGCATAACCAGGATTCTCTTATACTCTATAGCTACACTTCAAGTGGCCTTGGACAGAATGAAAACAAAAATGAATTTGCAATGTGAAGTTATTTTTAGCAAAGAATTGAATGTAAACAGTTCCAGTTTTTATCTTCTTGTCTCAATGTTGGTTATTGGTATCAAAAATGGTCAAAATAATCAGGACACATGGTACAGTGGATGAAGGCGTTAGTTAAATCCAGTGACAGGACCCAAAGAGTGTGAGTTCAATACCTGGTTAAGGCAGTGGAGAACTTGGGGAGGGGAATTAACAGGAGATAACTGATAACTGGCATCCATTAGACATAGCATGTGGAACCAGAACAGTCTACCCCAGTGAGTGAAATAAAGGGTTCAGTTCGGCATTCCAACCACCTGAAGAAGGCCGCGGCATACAATGGCCAAAACATTGTAATAAACATGGCCACAAAGATGATGGCAATAGTTTAAATAATGTAAATAATGTACATAATACCTCATCTCAGAAATATAGACAGATCCTGAAGAAGGCCGGAGTGTACAACGGTCAAAACATTGTAATAAATTTGGTGACAATGATGAGGAAAATAGTCTGAATAATATAAATAGTGTACATAATTCATCTCAGAAATAACAGATCCTGAAGAATGGTCTCGAAATGTTGTAATAAATTTGGTGACAAAGATGAGGAAATAGTTCGAATAATGTAAATATTAATACCTCATCTCAGAAACCATTGACAGATCCTAAAGATCCTAAAGAAAATACAATCAAAACATTGTAATAAATTTGGTGACAATGATGAGGAAAATAGTCTGAATAATGTAAATAGTGTACATAATACCTCATCTCAGAAATATTGACAGATCCTGAAGAAGGCTGGTGTGTATAACGGTCGAAATGTTGTAATAAATTTGGTGACAAAGATGAGGACAATAGTTCGAATAATGTAAATAGTGTACATAATACCTCATCTCAGAAATATTGACAGATCCTGAAGAAAGCCGGAGTGTACAACGGTCAAAACATTGTAATAAATTTGGTGACAATGATGAGGAAAATATTCTGAATAATGTAAATAGTGTACATAATACCTCATCTCAGAAATATTGACAGATCCTGAAGAAGGCTGGTGTGTATAACGGTCGAAATGTTGTAATAAATTTGGTGACAAAGATGAGGACAGTAGTCTGAATAATGTAAATAGTGTACATAATTCCTCATCTCAGAAATATAGGCAGATACAAAATAATCAGCTTTTTTACTTTTTCCGTTTCTTTCACATTAACAATGTTGGGAAACTTTTAAAAAAATCATGTTCTTTTTTAATTAGCATGAATGACATTTACTTATATTTTCTCTCTCTTTCTCAGTTGTATTATTTTATCTTGGCTTCCATCAATAATCAGTCTTTCTGTCAAGTGATGTGTCAAAGACTCATTGTGACAGAAGCCAAATAGAAAGAAAGGATACATAAACTTGTTAATACTAGACTTAAAATCTCTAAAACATTGATTTCTCTTTTTAACTAATGTTCAACCAATACAAGACTCAGTAGCCACTCAAGGTAGAGGGTTACTGAACGAGATTTTCGTCGCCTCTCTCTGTCTTTTTTACAAATACTTTCATGGCAACTGCTCTAAGGACTGCATTTGCTGGTTCCCAGATTTCATGATTTCAAGTGACCTATGAGGCTGGCATCCCGCTCTCACCCTTTCACTGTCAAAACTACTAAATGTAACCTTCTCTTCCACTCCAATAGCTTCATGTCCCGCACCTCTCACCTGTGGAACTCCCTTCCCTATTCCAGTTTCCCTAAGAGCTATAATCTCCAACTATTCAAATATAATGTCAATCAACATCTCCAGTTGCCTTGATCTATTCTTCTCCTCATCCTTTCCTCTATTGCTCCTATCTGATCTTGCTTCAAATCTTCTGTAACCCCTTGCGTCCTAGTGGCTTTCTGCCTTGCTTGGGGTGAAACGCTTAAAAAAAGAAAAGAGATAAGAAGTGTAGTTCAAAAAGATATGTGGGAAAGATAACAGTTCAGCCATGCATGATACACGCTTAGGTGATCACGTATCTTTCGATATATGACTGACAAGGCAGATTTTTTTCCCATTTTAGGTTGCCATTTCTTTCTGTGGTAGACCAGTTGCCATCCAAATCTATAGAATGCAGTCTGTCGTGCTATTTACCCATAGCTACAGGGAGAAGAAGAGGAGTCATACCTTTTCCAAGGGTTTTAGCACATAAGAGAATGTAATGGATACTACTGGAATTCAAACTCGGGTCTCCAATTCCTCAATCCGAGCCACTATCTATTACTCCATCATGTTTCCTTCTAAACTTTAAGAGGTTAAGACTGTAGTGGTTAATGATTCAAAAAAATATTGGAAATTCAGACAAAACAGTTTATTATAATAACAGGTAATATTATCAAAGAGTTATTTGTATCAGCATTGTAGAATATTGGTTAACTTGCAAGTGGTCTGACACACAGGTAGACTGGTGTAGTCCCTTCAGTTGAAAACAGCCCTGAGTCATTTAATGGAGAGATATATGGGTGAATAGAGTCCACTCATGCAAATGTGTTGGGCAGGTCCATTCCAACAAAGTGGACTAACCCACCTGCTGCATTAGGTGCTCTCCTATAAATGAGGTAGATTAGCTGGCTTGCCTTTACAAGGAGATACAAGAAGGCAGCCATTTTAGCAGGTAAGTCATTTGACTTCTACAAACATCATCCCACCTCAAGTAATTTATTTGAAATTATTAAAAAAAATAATTTTAGATCATTAAATTTAGTATTGTTTAATAATGTTAAGTTGTTTGTAGCAATTAATTTATAACCTTGAATGTAAATTGTTTGAATTTTATCTCCTTTGTTTAATGTTATCAGTTTTTCATTGTTATCAAAAAATTCTCACAATAAGCAACTTTTTGTCTTTTATTCCATTTCTTTCTTAGTATCAGTGTTTTAGTGGAGAATCTGATACTCAAAGGGCAAATAGAGGGAGAGAGAAACAAGGGAAAGCAATGTGTGGCATACCTAGCGAGCTTAAGCAAGTGGATAACAGAAGATGGTCTGGGATAAGTAGCAAGAAACTGTTTCCAGCTACACTAAGATCCACTCTGCAGAGTTCTAGTATAAACCACTGGTAAGCTTTGTGGGTATTGAACAAAGCCTGAATGTGCTGAGCAGGTGTCTGCAGCAGGGATTGGTTGACTGCTCTAGCAAACAGGATGTTGTGGATATGAGTAATCAACCATTGTATCTCTCATTTATTGTTCTGTGCTAAAATAATCACAATCCGTGGCCTCCATTGCACTATTATTCAATAATTTATTTATTATACCAAAATGTTTATAATCAAAGAAGTGATTCACTAACAGGAGTGAAAAGGACCTGGGTTTGAATCCAGTGTGTTTTTGGCAGTCTTGACTGAAGGGTTATACCAGGGAATAATATCAAATGGTTATTATCATAAGTGATTAAAATAAGTAGCTTCCCCCATTTTTATTTTTCTTCCCTTTCTTGGTTATTAACG